TACTATTATATTTAAAAATAAAAAGTGAGTAATAAAAAATAAAATTATTTTATAGTACACTTAAAAAATACAATGCTAATATTAACATTTTAAATTTTTCCTTTTTTATTTTTATTTTATATGAATTTTCAACTAGGGATGTAACGGTAGGAAAATGTCTTATCACGATTATAGTGACCAAAATTATCACTGTTATCAGTATTATCACGGTTTTGTTAAAATGTGCTGAAGATGTTCAAAAAGTACCAACACATAAATCACTTCACCAAGTTTTATATTTAAAAATCAACAAACAACAAATAAAATGACTTTTTGTTTGCATAATCACTAAAACAACATTACCAATGATGTTCGGATTTTAAATGACAACTTGACTGACAACAGTTTAATAGCATGTTGAAATATCTAATATAAATGTTCAAATAAAGCTAAGGTAAACCTCACATTTCAGCCTTTAAATAAAGAAAAGAGTTAAGTCAAAATGATAATTGATTAATAAATGATTATATGTATTTTATCTGCTCCATAAATAATTCTAGATAACTTATCTGAATTGTTTAAATGTGTAGAATCCACATAAGCTTGTTTTTCATCAACCGGTCAAAATTTACAGCAGGGCATGCAAATTCGGTCCGTTTTTGGCCAGACAGAAACTGCACCGCAAGCTGAATGTAAATATAAGTCTCTGTAAATCCACTCACTGACAGCAGGTGGCGCTGATGGAAAAGCTGTTTCCCGTAAACTCTGTGAACAAAGCAGCACTGCGATTAAAAACACTACTTTATTAGGTATTACATGGAGCGAAGATGAAAACAAAATGCCATCGAATTGTTTCTGAAGACAGTCAGAACCTTCAGAGGTACATTCATATAATTAATTCATTCATATATTCATTTGTAAAATTCCCTTAGCACTCTTTTAAAACCTCCCAGCTTTTCAGCCCTGTTTTCACTCAAAACGAAACTACTCTGCGTGCTGTGCGCACGTGAGACTGTTACTTAAAACTGCTTTATGCTGGACAGTATTTATTTATCATGAGTTGTTCAAATCGCGGTAATCTAATACGGTTTTAATGATAATTAAAATATGAAACGGTAATACTAACGTCGGGAATTTTATGATTTATCGTCAAAATATATATATATAAATCGTTACATCCCTATTTTCAACATTTTCAAACCATTTTAAAATCAGCAAGCTTTTATTTTGGCAGGTTGCTGGCAAGTAAGTATATGCGCTGCCGGTTTTAGCGCTGCCAAGTGAGGCACATCAGTGCATGAAATGTCACAGTTTTGCGTTTTGCTCTGAAACCGACAGCGCATAGCCTAGATTTATGCTTTCAGTTCGAATGGGAATCTTATACAGTATTACAGTTAGTCGATCTAAAATGGTGATTGTGCATTAACCGCTGTCAACCATGTTGGTACGGCATGAGAGGTCTGAACTTATTAACCCAGTGCATTTTTTATTTTGGTCACGCATGCGGACCACTTATGTACACCCCTGTGTGTGTATATATATATATATATATAAACCACAGCAAGATTAGTTTCATTCAGTTTTCTCTTCGATGTTCAACAGCATAAGCTACCATCCTCGTCCACCTTGAGCTCCATCATCTCTCTGGGTCAGACTACAATCTATCAGGATTGTGGTGAAAAAGACTACGTCCCTGTCCAGGTGTCCACCTATCACACTCCACATGACAGCAATGAGCCTGAAGCCAAGACCTACAACAGCACTTCTGCTATAACATACCTGGACCCTAAACTCACACCAGCTCAAGCTTTCCCCACACATTTCCTCAACCAGAGCTACACCAAACCAGACCAAGTCATTCCTGCTGGATATAAAGAAGATCCCCAGCCCTCATCTGATGATCTCTGGTTTGATTCTCTCTTTACCTACAAAAGTAGTCAAGCAGATTTATGCGGCTACATCCACGTGTCCCAGAGCTACACGCCGGTCATTACGACCGTAGACGCGTACAGGACTCTTGACCTGGATGAGAGTCCGGATTTCCTACCGGCTCATAAATAACGAGTTTTGCGTCACTGGGGTTTCACAGTCCCACTCTCTCCAGCCCACCAAAACATGAGCCCTCATATCAACCACCATCTCTGTGTGCTTTCTGATTGACAGATATCTTGTGCAGGGATAGTTGAAATGGCATAAGGCTGGTACATTAAGCTGGGTGCAATTAAAATCAGAAACTTGCCTACTCTGTAAACTGTGTCCAGTGTAGACAGCCGCAGTTAATTATAATAGTTGCACTAGATTTACAATGGTTTCATGGGCAGGTTCAAGAGATTGCATCCAATTGCTGTTCTGCCCAACCCTTGAAAATGAATTGTGAACTTTTTCTAAGCAGCCTTTTTATCTGAACACTTCCTGTCAGATCTCGTCTAGGTCAAGGACACCGCATGAGGACCGCTAGTCATTTCCACATTTGACACCTCTCTCACAAAACCACTCTGGTCTCGAGTTAAATGTGCATTAACCACTGATACCCAGTTGCCAAATGCATGGAAAAATGTGCCGGGTAGGAAAATGTGCTTTCGTTGCATGGAAACTTGGGCTATATTTGCTATTCCTGAGATAAAACAGTGCCATTTTACTGGTGGCATGATATAGCTTATCTCATTTTTTATTAGCAAATGGTGCTTGAAAAATAAAAAGTATCCACATTATGTTACTTTCATATTGTGATATTTGGTTTAATATTACATTTTTAATGCATAATTAGTCATCTTAAACCCTCCCATTTCTGTTGACACAATAAAGGACAAAGCCCCAGACGAGACATGTTTCCCTGGTTACATCATGGACACAGCTTGGAATTATACAGACCTGATTAACTAAAGAACTGGATTTTGTGTTTTTCAATGTTTTTTTAATTTATTTTTTTATTGTGTATTTCTGATGTAGCACTGCTGCTTGCGTTATACTTGTCATCTCCTGCTTTCTGCTCTGTCCCAGTTTCCTCTGTTGGCCTTTTTGGATATCAGAAAAAAATAAATTCTAACTGGGTTTGGATATCAGACAAAACAAAATTTTAACTGGTTTTGAATATCAGACAGAATCCATTCTAACTGGTTTTGGATATCAGACAGAACTACAGATTCCAGACAAAACTGGAACCTTTCTAGAAATGTTAGATCCAGTCTTTTTTTTTTATTTTGTCTGGTGAAATTACCACATTTGTGTTGTCAGCCTACAAATGAATGTAAGCTATTTTAGTCTGTGAATCAGACAGACTGGTAACCTGGAAAGCTGTGAAAAACAACATAACCCATCTGATCTGAACTATATATACATTGTTTCATTTCCTAATGAAAAGATTTGAGCAATGCCGTTCCAAAATAATGTCAAATGTTTATTTTTGTGAACTGTATCTGAAGATAAACCAGATTCTGTGGAAAAGGAAAGGACAGTGAGAGGGACACTCGGCATCAGGAACATTTTGTTGAGAATGCTGTGGCTTTGGGCCAGAGTTCAACAACGCTGGTCCATCTTTCCTGCGACTGGAATTCCCGATAAAGTCCCTCTTTGTTTGGACAGAGACGGGCCAGGGCAGTGTCACACACACATCCGGCTCCAGAGAGTTGATCTTTGGCGGCAGGAGTGCAGATCGGCCGTGTGCCAGAGCTGGTGCAGCAATATTTATTGTGGATGAAATGTGCTATTGTTGACAATAGATGGATATTCCCACTGACCTGCCAGAGCCCTGCGGACCGTTAACATGCTTCTTGCATTCCACCATTCCATCGGGAATGTGTTAGCCTGTGAATATGGCTCAAAAAAGGAGTGGATTAATGCTTAGCACAATATTTGTCATTCCTGTAGTGATGTTGAGAAACTCAAGGCTCTGTATGTATATATTCTGATAAAGCACATGTTATTGTTGTTTGTCTAATAAAGTGAACAGAAAATCACCTTGTGTTATTGTTATCTCAAGTCACAAAGGTTGATATTTGAAAGTAAACACTGTATATCTTGCTTAATTTGAGAAAATATGTATATATATATAGTTATACCTGTATTGAGCGCTTTGAAATGCCAGCATGTGTTGGACTTTGGTTATATTTACTGATATTTCTTGGGTGGGGTGATTGATCATAGGTAATTTTTCTTTGCACTTTGACTGCTGTGACACTTTGACAGTGGAGATCTTTTGTGCATGGAGAAATGAATGTAAAGATCTCTCTTTTGTATACAAATTTGTTAACTTTGGGTATTTCTGTATTTAACTTCCCTAATGTCAACAGAACAATAGCACAACCTGACAAAACATCCTTGGGAAGAAGGAAGAAGGTTCATAAAAGGGCATAATAATTTATTTATTTTGTCCTACAAACTAAAATATCATCCCATTATTGTTATAGCTGTTGTTTTAACTAGTGATCACAATAAACCACAACTGACATACATACACATTGTGTACGGTTTACTACATAATGAAAGTAAAAGGCTGGATTGTTATCAGGACAATGATGCTTTTCAGATTTAAGTTGCAGCTGAAATATTTTATACCATTTATTCATTATAAATAGCCAAAAATATTGTTACTTATCATTTGTCTGTTAAATTATTGTATAACTGTTTTACTCTTTACATTTCACCTATAATAAACTGTTCAATGGCAGTTTTGATTGTGACAACTTGCCCCGTCACAAGGTCAGTGTATTAAATAAACTGCAATTACTATTGTTACATTTTATAAAATATATTGATTTATAAAAAGTTTTCTTGAAATAACTTATAAAGTATATAAAATGTATAAATTATAATGGACATCAGATGTAACAATTAAAAAGTGATTATCATTTGTGGATACATTGACGCTAGAAATAACATAAATATTGTCACATTTGTGTTTGCTTGTAACATAATTCTAGTCTAGTCTGAACGGGTTAATCTTGTGTTATATCTTCAACTACAGTGTGTGTGTGTGTGCAAATTAGAGCGCGAGCGCGAGATAGAACACAGATGACGTCAGCGGTGGGCGTGTACATGGGCGAGTAAAGTCAGTTCAAACTGTTAGAGGTTCAGTCTTCACACTCCTCACGCGTCTAGTTCACTCGCGTCCGTGATACATCATCAGCGCACCTTAACGCAGGTGACGGGACACCCGGAAGAACACGCGCATCGACTATCACACGAGTCACTTGAGTTTCAATCAACCCCAGAAGAGCCGAGCAGATCACAGTCATGTCAGAGCTCAAGAAGAACAAGTTGTTTATGGTGCTGATGGATGTCGTGTGTGTGCTCGTGGGTAAGTCTGCTCTTTTGTTACATCTGCATTTCTGTCTTACATGATCTGAGCAGATGATTGTGAAATCCACCTGTGTGTGTGTGTGTGTGTGTGTGTCTGTGTCTGTGTCTGTGTCTGTGTGTGGGTGTCTGTTGTGTGTGTCTGTCTGTCTGTCTGTCTATATAACTCTCTCTAAGTTACCCTTAGTGACTGGTGTATATACCGTATGAGGTAAATATTGAGCAATATAATGCCTGAAGTGTTAAATTTATGTCTAGTGTAACATTCCTCCCGAGTGTTAACTGATAAGTGACAACCCTGTATTTCGTCCCAGAGCAACAAAAGAAGAAATTACAGAAACATACCAAGATTGGGTGGAGAAATCTGACATTGAAAATTATTCTGGATATTGTGTCTCCCTCACTAATGTATATGATGGTTACATCCAGAATAATACCTGTGTGTGTGCTTTTTCCCCCCCTTGCATTACTGTGCTAATGGTATGTGAGTATGATAATCATTCAGTACCATGGTACACAGTGGAGTCCAAAAGTCTGGGGTCACTATTGAAAATGCATGTATTTTACATTCTTTTCTAACTTAATACTAACATTTTCATTACAAATTATTGCATGATGATCATGATTTCAGTTGTTCCAAAGAGCATCTTGAGCTTCAGTGGAAGCAAGAAAATCTGTTTGAGTAACAGGAGTGACATGATCAATGTCACTAGTTTGCTTACTTGTTTAGTAACCAAGAAATACAGCACAGTCATTCAGTTTACATCAAAACTAGATTCTTTGTATTACACTGTCTCATCAATCAATAATTTTACCTTCTGATAAAATCATTTATAAATCCTTACACCATGGAGCTTTTCATAAGTTCAGAGCTTGTTCACACATGCAGTGCTTTATTGGACAGTCTTACAAAAGAACTGGCACTCTTTATTTCCATAATGGTTAGTTCAGATGTAGCAATCATAACTCTGGATGACGTTCTCCTTACGTTTTCACACTTCTACCTTTTAAATGGTCTCTGTGCTGGTATATCTTTGATTTGAACTGTTTGTTGTGAAGATTCTGCTTTATATTTGCCCACTAACTATTATGAGGCAGCACATAATAACACCTGTAATGTTACACCGGTGAATTGAACCATGCAAGCATTATCTGATGCACTCAGCTGTATCCTCTGAAGCATAAATCATCACAGTAACAATGGCGACCTTTAGGAGTGTCTCCTTCAATGCACGATTACAGCTGAGGTGAACAATGCCTTCTACATACTGCAGCTCAAACAGTATATGCTCCAGTTCATCTGTGTGGTCTGTCCAGGTGACTCAGCACAGAGTGAAGAACATTTGTAAATCAGTCTCACTCGGTTCACTTTAGCGTGAGTCAGATTTACATCCGGGAAGTGTTCATCAACAGCTGCTGATGCAGCAAACTCTGACAGATGAGTCTCAAAGTCATGATATCAGTGCCAGGGTTGGTGTGTTGGGATCTGTTCAGTTAAAGCAATAGCTCACGTGAAAATGGCGATTCTGTCATCATTTGCATTCAAATATGACAAAAAAGAACAATAATAGCACTGTAAATATAGCCGTGTGACTTATGCACAATATTGCAAGTGTTCACAAGAATCCTTATGATAGGTTTAACTATGGCAAATGGTTCGATTTTCAGTCTGTTCCTCACACAAAGCAAACAAAATGCTTCAAAAGACTTGTGTTTGAATTGTGTGAACTGCTTTTATACAGAGTGCAACAGTGTCTGTCCACTTTTCAGCGGCCTTGGTTCTGGAAGTATTTTTGCCATCCTTTTCAACAGGGATTAAAAAAAAAGTCTTTGTTAAAGAGTTATAAGCACTAAACTAACCAGCTACAAGGTGAATCACAACATTGCAAACTTTGACTTGAAGCAGAAAACTTGAAAATCTGACAAAGGTACAAGACTATGGCTTTAATGAAGGAAAGAACTACAATGCAGCACGCAAATTACATATATTAAAAATGGTAGAGAAATATATAAAACTATTGATTTAAAGGGATAGTTCATCCAAAAATGAGAATTCTCTCATCATGTATTCACCCTCAAGTTGTTCCAAACCTGTACGAGTTTTTTCTTCTGTAGAACACAAAAAAATATATTTTGAAGAATGTTGTAACAAGCCGCTGACGGTAGCCATTGACTTCCATAGTATGGAAACAAAAATATGGAAGTCAATGGCTACCATTAACTGTTAATTTTTGGGTGAACTATCCCATTAAAGATGCTGTATTATATATAGAAACAAGATATTTTATGTTTATTGCAAAATGTGCATATATATGAAAATATTTAAGTAGTGAGAGACTAAGATTTCTGGAACTAATGATTTATTTTAATGTGATTTTTTTCATTGTGGCACTCTGTTTGGTGCAGAATTTTGATTTTTAATAATTCCACATGAATATTTTAAAAATAAGTTGGACAGCGTTTTTCCTGGCTCGAAATGAGGCGGAGTTGGTACCGTCCTGATCATATACACAAATTGTACCCACCCTTCAACTGTTTTTTTAGGTGTTCTAATAATTAGATGATTGAAGAAAATGACAGTTATAAAGTCTATAAAAAGCTAATAAATTTTACAAAAACAAACCTGTTTAACATTACATTAAAATACAACATGACAGCTAAAAGGGACCCTTTTATACTAAGCTAATTGTTACACCTGATTAATATTCCTCAAGTAAACATTCTTTATCGTTATGAAAATACCCCACATTTCATGAAAATCACATACAAACCATATACTATAGTAATCGCGCGTATATCAGCTTCATGTAGAAATGTTTCTCTGGGTTTGTTGTGGACGGAACAGAATGAAGAAGTTTAATGGAACCTTGTCTTCGGAAGAGACCGGATGGGTTATGAACGCATAATATGAGTGACATATCAACAGCGGCACAAAATTAAACTGAGGCGGCCGTCTCATAATTCTCTATTGCAGGAAAAAAAAAACCCTGTTGAAATAATGCAGACTGACAGCTTCAACAAAAGCTGTCCGATTAACAACCTTGTAGCTCACAGAAGGTATGTCTTTAATGGTAAGTTATTGTTAAAATTTAATTCCCATGCAGAGAAAATGTATGTGATTTTTTTTTTTGCTTCCAGAACCATACTGCTGCAGTTTTGGCCTTTATTTTGATTTTTTATTTATTTTTGTATTTCTTTTATTATAAAAGAATAGCAACAAAATTTAAATTTTTGGCTGAACTTTTACCTTAAAACAAATGTAAACAAGGCAAATGTCCATATGGAGAGCAGAGATTGACCGTGTGAATGATATTTCCTGGCAGTGTGGGTGTGGCCTACAGGTAAAGCCCACCTGTGCCTTTCAGTGGGAAGAAAAACTCAAACAAAGTGGGCCGAAGCAATGAATCCCATGCTTGTGTTTGTCTGTGCGTTCTTGCAGTGCTGTTTGCATCTGTAAATGTGCTGCGACGCTGCGTGTCCAGGCTTGCTGTAGAATCAGGTCTGTGCAAGTTCAGCTTCGGGAAAGTCTCACGCTATTCTCTGCTGTCAACACCAGAGAAGGACTGCTCATCCCCATTTACACGTCTGTCCAGACGATTGCAAATATTTGTGCATGTGTCTGGTTATCCGGACTGGCCGATGGGGCAGAGGGGGAGAATAAGTGTCCAGTTTAATGCAAAAACTCCTCATATACTTAGATTGAAGTAGGGCTGCACAATTAATAGAAATACAATTGTGATATGGCTTAGTGAGATTTAATGAAATCAATAAATGTGCTGCTTGTTTCAGAGTGTTTTTACACCCGAGCAGCTTGTGATCCAGTGTTTTCAGTGTCTCAGATGGACATAAAACTAACGTCCCAAATTTAAAATAAGAAGTACTTAAGCCATACAGTTTTCCACCAAAATAAAAGCTTTAGCATTTGAAAGTTAAGAAATTAAGACAGCAATAATATTGGTATTGTAATTTTACAGTACTGTAAAAAAACATATCGTAATTAAAATAAAATGTATCTTTTTTTACAGTGAAATAGTAATAATATTATTTCTTGTTTTATTATTCCATATAATAATAATAATTATTATTATTACATAAAATATTAAAACAACAAAAAAGTTAATATTGATGTATAATTACAACATTTTTGTTAAATTGTGCAGCCCTACAAACAAGCACAGAAAACCTGGTGTGAGGTTTTTTTTTTTTTTCTACATCCCTAAATCCCCAAATCATGCATCCATAGATCTGAGCCAAATCTTGATATTTGAGGCTGGACTATTAAATTGCTTATAATTGCTGAAATAGGAGATGTATGTGGAAATTTCTCCCTTCAGATCAGAAGGATATTGTTCATTTTTGGCTACAAAATTGATTTGTAGCCCAGCTCAGGTGCTAATATTCCATGATTATGGTTTATCTCTGCTAGACCAGCCTTTCTAGACTAGTTCACGGCTCATAGGTAGGCCTTTGTGGGGTTTGGTAGTGGAAAATCTGCAGCGGTTGGATTGGCAGTTTGCATTGTTTGTGACATTTGAGTAAATCCTCAGACGTCCACACCCCTCAGAACCTCATACACGCACATCAGTGGCTGTAGAAACATTTCAAAGCTCTTCATACTGAAACTGGAAGACAAAAGATCAGATTTCAAATCCTGAATGTTCCATTAACGCTTCACTCTTAAAAATAAAGCGGGTTTTCACTGCGATGTAATAGAAGAACCATTTTTGGTTCCCCAAAGAACCTTTCAGTGAATAGGTTAAAAACACGATATTTTTTTTCTACTATATAAGGAATGGAAATATTCCATGGATGTAAAAGGTTCTTCATGGAACCATAGATGCCAATAAAGAAGCTTTATTTTTAAGAGAGGTGTGCAGGGATTTATGGCAGTGAAGCTTCATCTCTATGGCTTAATGTCCTCTTTTCTTTGATGCATCAGCAGTTTTTGTGTTTAGCTCATAAAGTCCTTCACTGGATGCACAGGATTGAGTCTCTGCTCTTGCCTTTCTGTTTCTTATGTCCCATGATTCCCATGACTTATTGGAAATGCTCCATCTACTTGAAATATGTATAGAATTCACAAACATCCAAGCCTCCTTGAAAAATGCTAATTACAGGATTTCCTCAAACTATCTGGACTATAGAGTTGGATTAGAAGAAAATCTACCCTCATGTTGTTCCAAATCTGGGCGACTTTGCTTTGAAATATCTTGTTCTGCTGGAGAAAGAAGGTCATTTAGAATTTTGGAATGACGTGAGAATAAATAATGACTAAATTTTCACTTCTGATCCCTTTAATACTTTAAAAAATGTAATGTTCAGACGTGATCTGGACCTGGCAAGGTTTGCGTTCCTCCAAAACTCTTCCTTTTGCCTCAGATACACCCTGTGAATATCTGTGAGAAAGGTCTGTTTGTGATGGTCCAGTACAAGTTGTCATCAGCATATTGAATCAAATATTTAGTTTTATTTTATACGCACGAGGCTGAGCAGTGAGGACGAGCTCCTAACATTTGATTTGGAGTGTTTTGTTCTTCTCTCTCTGATTTAGTTTGGGACGGCCCGGCCAGATAACGTCGGAAAACATGCCAAACTGATTTAACCAAAATCCTCTGATTTTCAGAGAAGCTGTTGTGCTGGCGCTTAGAGGCTCCGTCTTTAATTCTTATCAGATGCTTTCCTTCCTTTACTTTTAAGCCATGCTTCAATTTCCCCTCCTACATCTGTGCAAGTCTGTCAGATCGCTTCATATTCTTCACAGATGGCCATATTTCCTTGTTTAAATGTTCAAGCAATTACAGTAATTTTGTGGGCAAAAAAAACGACAAATGATAAAATAATAGTACATATAAAAAGGCTTCTGGTTTTTCGTGTCACGCAGCTCAGTGGCTCCATTCCAAATTTTGCAAACTATCTATACTATATTAAGTATGCACAATTAAGATTCCCACATCATAGTATGTTAAAAATTGCATGTCAAAGGTGCTCAGATGGTGTATGATGTCCATATTTTTGAAGTGTGCATCCATGCATGCTTTTTGTAAACATTTTTTTTTCTTTGCACTAACGAATCGTACGCAGTAAGACCAGGAACAGGTGTTAAGGATGTAAATAGTCAGTTCTGATTACATGAAAAATACAAGGCCTCCAAGCTCAAAAGTTTGAGGTTGGTAACCTTTTTAAATGCTTTGCTCTTATGCTCAACAAGGCTGCATTTATTTGATTAAGAAACAGTATAAACATTAATTTTGTTAAATATTATTACAATTTAAAATTAATGTTTCATATTTAAATATATTGTAAAATGTAATTTATTCCTGTGATCAAAGCTGAATTTTCAGCATCATCACTCCAGTCTTCAGCGTCACATGATCTTCAGAAATCATTCTAATATGCTGATTTGCTACCAATACATTTCTGATTATTATTTATTGCTGCTTCATATTTTTGTGTAAACCTTGATACATTTATTTTTTCAGGATTATTTGATGAATATAAAGTTCAAAAGGACAGCATTTACTTGAAATTGCAGTCTTTAGAAATAATATATTGTTTTTACGGTCACTTTTGATCAATGCATCATAATGCATATTTGCTGAATAAAAGCATCAATTAAAAAAAAAAAAAAACTTACTGACCCCAAACTTTTAGTGTTTAAACTTAAGTAAAAGTACATTTGAAAGTGATGAATTTAGTTCGATGTGAACTTGCTAACAAAGTTAATGTGAACAGTTCATAGCAAAGGGGTTTGTGATCTCAAGATGTGGCTGTATCTCTCAAATACTACAAACTACCTGCTAAAAGAACTGATTAAATTAGCTTAAGCTGGTTTACAAGTATTACCTGGTTTATAGCCTGACCAAACTGATGTTTAGCTAGTCAGACAACTTGTTTCTCAGGCTAATAAATGGCCAAAACAATTTTAAAACTAGCCAATCAGACCAGCCAGACCAGCTTATGCTGACATCACAGAAGTACATACTTGAATGTGTAGTATAGAATGCATTAGTAGGCTGTGTTTTAGGGTTAAAAGAATCTGTGTGTGTGTGTGTGTGTGTGTCTTGTTTAGTAGAGTGAATGAATCTGATAATCAGGTCTGTCTTCACTCTGTTGAACATTCAGAATGCATGAAACAAAACCACAGACCACATGACAGACGGAACGAGGGATCAGAAGAGAGCAGGAGAGATGTGGGTGGTGATATTTGGAGATGAGGGAAAGAAAGAAAGAAAGAAAGAAAGAAAAAGAAAGGAACAGGCTGAGGTAAGGAGGGAAAGAAAGGAGGATTGGAAGAGGGAAGGGGTCTGTCCCGTCCTGTGTGGATTAGATGTGTCAGGTTTAACGCCAAGTTCTGTGAGCACATACCACTGAGTATTACTCACACACACACACACACTTTCACGCTCTTTCACACACACACACACACGCACACACTTTCACTCTCTCTCTCTCTCACACACACACACGTGAGTAGATCAAGAACTGAAAGAAACGTTTGAATCTAACTGTTGAGGAACTATACTGTTCTAAAACCTAGTGAGCGTCCTGTGTAGGCAGAATTTTAAAACATCATAGGTGGTAAGAAAGTTCAAGTTCAAATTTTGGAACAGAGCTAAAGAATACAGTTCTTCTGAAGGTTCTTTAGTTTCAAAGACGTTCTTGATGTCTCAATACAGGTTCTTTTGATCAGTGTTTTGGTTTCTAGGTTCTTTAAAGCACCAGAATGTAGATGGTTTTCTAAAGACCTGGGATAGAAAGTTATTTGTGGAACTTTAAAAGGTACTGAAATTAGACAGTTTGTGCCTCTTTGGTTTTAAATGGAACTTCTTTTTGCAAACAGCAGTTTTTTTAAGGTGGACCTGACGTTTCTATCGGGCTGTTTGTTAATTTGGTTAATTTGAGTCATGTGATTTTAATCAAAAGGATTTTGGGGTACATAATGGTTATCTTTTTGATGTGTTTGTTATGATGAAGAGCCATTGCGCTCAACACTCCCAAGGTGAGAATTGAAAAAATTGGATATATATATTTTTTTAGAACTGTGCCAAATTTGTCTTTTTTTTCCAGTTTATTTGATCAATTTATTTATTTTATCAAAAGTGACCATAAATACATTTGTAACGTTATTAAAGATTTCTATTTCAAATAAATGTTTTCTTTTCTTCAAATAATCATGAAAATATAAGGGTTTCCACAAAAATATGAAGCAGCACAACTGCTGTTTTTTTTAGCATTGATAATAAGAAGAAATGTTTCTTGAGCAGCAAATCAGCATATTAGAATGATTTCTGAAGATACTGAGACACTGAAGAGTAATGATGCTGAAAATTCAGCTTTGATTCACAGAAATACATTTTAAAATATATATTCAAATAGAAAACGGTTATTTTAAATTCTAATAGTATTTCACAATATTACAGTTTGATCAAATAAATGCAGCTCGCTCTTTGTGAATGTAGTTTCTTATGCAGTAATCCTGAATGACTTCCTCTCTGTTATCATCGTTCACTCAATCCTCTCTTTTACACAGCAGAAGTTAAATGTTTTTTAAGTTTGCTTCATCCTGTCTAACCTGTGCTGAAGCAGGTCACAGCCTCACTGTCTTCTGTCCAGCTTATTTTCTTCTTGCTAAACAACAACAGCAGCAAAAAAGCTAATATTTATCCAGGTTGTTTAGTGACCTCTTTTAAAACCCTTCTCTCCGATTGGTGCAGAGACTCTGTCTGTTAGTTACTCAGTGTTTCAGTGTGTCAGCATGATGGAAGTCACACAGATTGACCCTCTCAGCATGTCCGATTCTAAAGTTCATTGAGAAGCGCTTTGGGGTTTTTGTGTTTTCTCTAAATAGTGGAAACATTCAAAGCATGCACACTTGAATAAAACCCAAAACTTAAGTTTCTGCCCTTAGGTTTCTGGTCTCTATATGTATTCAGTGTAAATTTGTGGGTTTCTGTTTTGTTTGGCTAACTTCTAATGACATATGCAAATGTAAATTGGCATTGAAAAGCCTCGTGCACCACTAGAGATGAAGTCTGATGGACTGATACGAGTTCATAATAGTGTATGATGAGTGTTGACCTCAGCTCTTCTTTCTGCTTGTCTGTTAGATGTTGGGAGGTCATTATCCTTTAATTGTGCTTTCTTAGAGCACTTTGCATTTATAATATGTCAGGATATGTCAGGACTTGTGATGTTGAGGAGGGCAGCATGTTTGAAACAGCTTTCATCAATCTGAGTGAAGTGACTTAACTGCAGTTCAGTGTATGTTTTGTTCTGTCTTTTTCCTGTAATTTCCTCTGACTTAGTTTGTGCATTCTTTTAGACCCTGTCTCTTCATATATTGCATTGTCTTTCTTTGAAAAAAGGAAGTCTTTTTTTTTTTTTTTTTCCATTTGAAGTCAAATATCAGGGTCAATCCTGGGTAATATTTGATATGTGTAAATGATTCCTCAAATCATGCAGTTGTGCTGTTACTTTACTAAGTGATTAGATGTAAAATATTTGCCTGGTAGTCATTATCATGTGCAGTGAAACACCACTAATATTTTGTGTGAACTTTTGAAACGGTGGATGTACATTCTGTCATCATGTTTTGATATTATGCAGAGGCCACACAATGTTTTCTTTCAGCGGCTGTGGGCAGTGTCTGCAGTTTTGTGTGAAAATGACACTGATTCCAGTCCAAAGAGACAGTGAGATTTCACAAGCACACATCCAGCTCATAACTCAAGGGTTCTGAGACTCAGGGTTGCCATGAAATATAATGGAATTTTAAAATGGTTATTTACAAGTTATTTACATTTACTGTAATAAATATATAGTACCCGACAAAGACTTTGGGGTCGGTAAAATTGTTTGGTTACACTTTATTTTAAGGTCCAATTCTTGCTATTAACAAAACATTAAAGGGTTAGTTCACCCAAAAATGAAAATTAGGCTGCGTTTTACTCACCCCCGATGCATCCTAGGTGTATATGACTTTCCTCTGTCAGACGAATCCAGTCGGAGTTATATTAAAAATTGTCTTTGATCTTTCAAGCTGTTTAATGGCACTCAGCGGGTGTTGCATGCATCAGTCCAAAAGAACTTAAATAAAAAGCGACCATCCGTTAAAAGAAAAGCGTCTCACACGGCTCCGGGGGGTGAACAAAGGCCTTCTGTAGCGAATCGATGCGTTTTTGTAAGAAAAATGTCCATATTCAAAACCTAATAATCACTTTAATGTAGCTTGCGCCAACAGTTGTACAC